TCCCAAGAGACAGCAGGGGACCCGAAAATGGGGTGCCAATGAGCCCACTTCTCAGAGGAAGTTGCATAGAGCAAAATTAGGAAATGGATACAACATGGGACAAAACTACGATCAACCAGTAAGATGCTCAATATAACCATTTAGGTAATATTGATCCAGTGGGGAAGCAGGTCATATAGCAGGTGCACACGGAAAGGACCGAGACTTTTTAGGAAGGGATGGGTCAGGGGGTCCTGGTCACCCACCTGGGGGACTGATGTCTGTCTAGACTTGATTGGACCAAGTGATACCAGTTATAATCTTCCCCTCGGGGAGGTGTGTAGGCCTGGTCATTCCCTCTTTATCTTGAGGCCTAGCCTTCAGTGGATGCGCCTCCAGCCCCAGCTGTGCTGGGTTTGCATCCTCTGCGCTGATCCCTCCAGGGCCCGGCCCCGTCTAACTGCCTGGAACTTTCTACCTAACTTAGCTGTCTATCATATGAGGAGCCCAGGTAGGGAGAGGGGTAGAGCTGGGGACTGGTAGGAGCTGGCCACTCTACACCCCGTGTGGGAAGCCAGGCTTAGTCTGGCTCCTGCCCACTGGGAGGCAGCAGAGGGTGGCAGATACATCGGTGTTGCAGGCTGAGGACTGGGGCTGCCGTGCACCTGGGATGGAGCGCAGAGTCCGGGCTGGAGGAACCTGGAGTCTGGGGCTGATGCTTGGTGAGAGGGGCTGTGTGTGGATGCAGGGAGGGCTCTTGGCTGGGTCCGAGTCATTGATCAGGCTTGAGGAAGCAGAGATCCTTTATTGCTCGAGGCAAAGATTGGAGGGCTTGGTTTTCTTTTTGCTTGGCCTGTTCTTTGCTCAACTGTTTTCTCCTGCACAGGGTACCACATGCACCCAGAAGCTGCTCTGTTCCAAGGGACTGAGGGGAATTTTGGTTTCACTCTGGGCAGTGTATTCCCCTGCGGTCCCCTCAGCCACACACATGGGCACCTGGCAGATCCCAGGGTCCTCTGTCTACTGGCCCCGATAGCTGTGTGGAAACAGGAGGTGTACACTCTGGGGAGTGTACATCTGTGAGGAGACATGCACACACACAAGTACAGATGTGCACACATAACAACACTGTACGTGTGCAACTGCACAGTGTGTGTGTATGTATGGGGGTACAGTTTAAGTATGTGTTTGTAAAGGGTGAGAAATTCCAATAGAATTTTAACTTTCATATTGTTCAGCGAATTTTTCTCTCCTGTAATCTCCTGCAGTCCATCTCCTGCAATGATGGGTCTCATCTTTTCTGGAGCTGGACAGAGCCCAGGCCCTGTATGCATTCTGATATCCTTAGCCTTGTCTTTTCATGAACTAAGGTCGTCTGGTTCTTCAGCTTCACTCTCCTGGCCCCTTGCAGCTACATAGAGGTCCCAAGTTCCAGGGGCATCTCACCCTCCCTCCCTCCCTTCCTTCCCCCACAGGCTGGAACTCTTGCTCCCCAAATGCCAAGGACAACAGGGAACCAAGAGCCAGGCAGGGTGACTTCAGTCACCTCCTGCCTTGAGTGTGTGAGAGCTCTGGCCTCAGATGCTGGCGCCCAGAGGAGAGCAAATCAGGAGGCCTAACTGGCAGGGATAAGCAGATTTGATGTACAGCTGGCTCAGCTCTTGCAAAAGCAGTTATAAGTGATGTGTTGGGGTTGGCTATGCTCTATCCACAGACAAGGGTACAGTTTCTCTAACAGGATGGCTTCCTTAGTATGTGCTGGCCAGATTCCAAAATTCTGTCACTCAGGGAAATAGTGTAATGCACTTTATGGAAAACGATAAAATATATAAAGACATAGAAAGAACAAAAGATAGCTGTGCACAACCCCGCTGCCCTTCAAGGGCTGACGCCAGAACCTCAAAGCCCTGCCACGCGTTCTTGTGCACCTGTGCCAACATGCTTGCCCAGCTCTGCTCCTGCAAGAAGTCATCCTGTGCTACTGTTCCACAATCAAACCTTTCTCTTTAGTGGCGCGTGGTGAACCCTTTGCCCACTGTGGAATATTCCTTAAGCACAGTTTGGAACGCTTGCATGCTATTCTACTGTGACCACATGGGTTTTTTGATGCCCTAGTGTTGGCTATTCTATTTGCTTACTTGTTTAATATTATTATTATTATTTATTATTTATTATTCCTGGTGGTAGGATGGAACCCAGGGCCTCACACCTGCCAGGCAACCACTTCTCACTGAGCTCCATCCCAAACCCTACAATGAGGGAAGTACCCCAAATAGCAACCTGCAAGACACTTGCTAACTCCAATTTCCATGGGGTCTGAGATGTGTACCTTACAGGGCAGGTGCTGTGTATTCATCTCATACAGAATTCCCAACAGTTTGGGAACTGCTGAGTCCCTAGCAATTGTCAAGAGCTGACTTCCCTGGGCCCAGGAGGTCAGCTTCCTCCCTGTCTCCCTGGTGACGATGGTGACCTGTGCATGACCTACAAGCTTAAGGTATTCACGTTCCCCTCTTCAGATTAATATCTGATGGGAAATTAGTAGGGGAAAGATGCGCCCCTCAGTCGGGGAGCCCTTCCCCGCGGGAGGAGGGGAGTCTGCCGAAGAGATAATGTTACCTCCCTGCTGGCCTCTGAGCGCCAAATCAGTGTCTCTTTCATGTCACTGGGCCCGAATAGGGGCTGCATCAAAGAGCCATGGAGAAAAGAAATCGTGGAGCGGGCGCTGCGAGAGGAACAAAGCCAGCACAGGACCAAAGTGGGGGTCAGTGCCCTCCCCCGCAGCTCCCCGCAACCTCCTGTCCTCTCCAGGGCTTGGCCACCTTGGGCTGCCAGCAAGAGACCAGGTCCTCAGCTGCCAGGGTTTACAGCCAGCCTTTGGAGCCGGTGACTCACCTCTCAGTTTCTTTCCGCCTCTGTCTGCCTGGCTTTCCCCTCTGTTAGCCTGCTGGTGGACACATGAACTTGTCCCTTCCGGGACTTGGGGACTTCAGGACAGACGCAAGGCATGGGGCTGGCTCTTATCTCCTCTGCAGGCCTGGCCTTCTGAGCTTTGGCTGGGGCCTGGGTGACCATTTTGCTCCCCGTTTCCAGACAACCCCATGTTGGCCTCCTGGGTTTTTGCACTTCTATTGAGTCTTCTGAGTTTCTGTTTTAATTTTAAAAAATCAAATAAACTGAGGAAAACTCTACTGAGATGTTTTGTAGAGAAGGAAAGCACATGGCTGTTTTAAAGATGAAAACACCGAAGGAACAGAGCAGGCGGTGACAGTGCTGATCATCCCGAATCTCAAACCCAAATTCGGAAATGTTCAATATCTGACACTTTTGATGCTACAAGTGGAAAGTTCTTCCCTGTGAGAGTCTGTTTCAGGCACCAGATGCTTCCAGAATATTGCATAAAATGTGCCCTGGGCTGAGTGCAGAAGGTGGGTGTAGAACATGAGTGAATTTCGTGTTTACACTTAGGTCACAGTCCCAAGAGAGCATGTTATGTGCATGCAAAAGTCCCCAGACAAAGAAAAAAAACCCCAATCTTGAAGCTCGTCTGGTGCCAAGCATGGAGGACAAGACATGGTCAGCCTGGCCTTCAGCCGAAGGGTTAACAGGCCAGGCGTGCTTTACGACTTCCACCTGTGTTCAGGGACACTACCAGGCAGGCGGAGAAATGAAGGCTCCCCAGGCCTGTGAGCCCCACTTCCCGAAGCCCCAGCCTCTACTTGGTCTGTGTCTCTGCTCCCACGCCCTGTGGTCTCCTTGATTCTTTCACTGTGCACCCAACTGTCCCACTTGTAACCCTTGGGCCAGAAGTTCAGTGACAGAGATCTGGATGCTCCACGTGCAGCTCTAGGGTGCAGGCAGTGTCATCTGGTGGTGGCGGGGACCTGGCCCATGTGAGCACCATGCCTTGGAAGTAGGATGAGTGCGGGACGGCCCCTGGGGACGTGAATTGTGGGCAGACGCTGAGTATTGAGGTTGTCATGTGCGGTCCCGTCCTTAGCATGTCAGGGACACCAGATGCCATCCTGCACTGTCTGGGCTCTGGCCATTTTGCTGGGCAGCTGACTTGGTCCAGCCGGTTCCAAGCAGCCCCAGGTAAGATGTGCCAGTGGCCTTGGAGGGGCAGCCAGGGGGTGGCGCCTGCTACTGAGACTTGAGCTCTGCCACAGGGCACCAGCCCTGGAATCAGGCACTGCCATCTCCTCTGCATCCAGAGCTTCAAATCATTGAGTGAACAAATGGAGCCATGGAGGCAGAGGCTGTGTGGATGGCGCTCCTGGTCCTGTCTCTCTGTCCCTCCTGTGGGTCCTCCTCTTCCTCCTCCTCCTCCTCCACGGACCTGCTCTCACTTCCTGCCCTCAGTATTTTCTCATGTGAGTCCCATGATTTTAATAATTTCTCTTAGGCGAGCTGGGCCTCCAGGCACCGTGGGGAGGGCTGCCTTTTACTGCACCCTTTAACTCCCATGCTGGGCACAGAAAACTTTCCGTAACTGGCTAACGAGATGATGGTCACAGCTGGTATAAAAGTGAGGGTCCCCAGATCCATGAGCTTCATCTATCTCAGAGCTCTGGCTGTGGGTGAGCGGACAGTGCTCCCTGCCAGCGGGCGTTGTGGGCGGCCACCCCTGCTCAGTGGGGCCCATGTTCCCTGCTCTTTCACCTGCTGTAGAAGGAAACGACATCGGAACCCCTGGGAGGACTGCCACACTGGAGGCCCAGCGGCCTGTGACCCCAAGCCAGTGGTCCAAGGTTGGCTGTGTGAGTGTCCGTTCCTAACCAATGTATGTGTGCTGGGTGCATGTGGCCTGTGTTCCAGGTGGCATAGGGCAATGACAGGGCCATGCAAGAGAGATTTCAAAAGACCAAAGTGAGTGACAGGACAGGGATCAGGGTCACTTTCAGATTGGTCTTCAGGTCCCTGGAAAGGGGAAGTGTTCACCAGCTCACGGTGCTGGTGGGGCCATCAGACATGGGCGGGGTGGGGTGGGGGGGTCATCTAAGCCGAGGCTGGCTCCTGGTGCTAGAGTAGGAAAGTGGTGACACCTGTTCCCTGCCTCCTGGAGCCCTGTCATCCTGTCCCCGCCTCCGCGGAGGCAGGGAGCAGGTTCCCTCTGGAGCTAGGTGTTGGGGGTGAGTGCTGTGCCCTGGCTGGCCTGGCCTTACTTCCTTGGCGTGGGGCCGCGCAGGAGAGGATTCACAAGGAGAAGGTCAGGTAGGCTGGCGCCTGTGCGCAAAAGCCCACGTTGCGATTCCCCAGGACAAGGTACTCTCCTGCCCCATCTGTGCTTCTCAAACAAACACTGCTGCTGTGATTTGCCATCAGCCAGTGGGAGGTCTGGGCCTCGCCTTGCCTGCTCTGGATGTGTGCACATGGGTCAGTTAGCACTGTGCTCCATCATGGGTGCAGTGGGGAGGGGACTGGGGCTTTTCCTGGGGACTGGAACAGTGGTGATCTTGACTCAATGCCAGAATGAGTGGCACCTGTGGAAACCAGACACTGATGGTTTACTGGGCCACGAATGAGGTGACTGTTCTTACAGAAATCCAGCCTACCCAGGAGAACAAAACCTTTAACCCTAAACACCAGGGCCTCCATTCACAACCCAAACCCATGTGTTTTTCATTGATGGAGTTGCGAAAGTCAGGCAGAGGGATGCATAAACTCAGCTGAGCCCGTTAGCAGGAGGATGAGTGACTGATCTGCAGGCAGCTTTGCAGATGCAGCCGCGAGGCTCAGGCTGCTGTGCTGCTGCGTGGGGGGTCCGTGTGGATCTGAGGTGGCTCTCCTCAGTGTCCTCAGGTACGAAGTGGGGACAGAGATGTGTGGTGACACTCTGCAATTCGGGGTCTCAGGAGCTGTTTGCTTTCCTGCTGTTTTTAGAAGCATAGGGACAAACTCTCCAGTAAGCACTGAGGCTGACCTGCAGGTACCGTAGGTTCTGCCTCCAAGACAAGCGCCCTGAGGATTGGTTGCTCATCCAAAGCCATCGGATGTGCACCTGTGAGACGCCAGCCTGCATGAGGAGCTGGGGAGGGGCTGGGGGCAAGGTGGCTGCGGTCCTTGTCCCCATTAGGAAATGAGGGAGCAGGTGGCTGGGGCCTGCGAATTGTCTCAGAAGCAGTGCGAGAGGGAAGGAGCCACACTCGGAGTCAGCAAAGCATCTGGGGTTGTCAACATGACACAGTGCTCAGCTGAATTCTGGTCTGATTGAAAAAGAATCCTGACACTTAGCATTCTGTCCACACAGCCAGGTGTCCCCCAAAGTGTCCAGATGGCTGCTGTAAGTGGTGGCGCTCCCCGAGTGACTTGGGTGTCCACGTGTACCTGCAGCGAGTCAGGCCCAGAGGAGGAGGTCTGTGCAGACCACCCTGTGGGGCTTGCATGCTGTCATCTGCAGAGGAAGGCCAAGACACTCCTTTCTGGGGAGCTGCTGCCCTTGTACAGACCCTGGGACGGCGCCCTGAGTTCCTAACCCAGCCCCTGACAGTTAGGGCAATGTTTTCCTTGACAATAGAGATTTTGTCCTCTGTGGAAAAGGAAGTCAAACGTGACAAGCTGCAACTGAAACTTCGCAGAGACTTTTGAAGTTTCTTTAGCTGCAGCTGAGCTCAGTGCTGCCTGCTCCCGCCTTGCCTTGCCTGCAATTTAGGAGATAACCTGCTGTGGTTCACCAGGGACCTTGGTGCTTTCAGGATGTGAGGCTTTCTTCCTGTTTTGTTTTGTTTTGTGGCCCTAGGGATTGAACCTGGAGTCTTTACACTGAGACACATCCCCAGCCCTTTTAAAAAGACTATTTTGAGGCAGGGTCTTGCTGACTTGCTAGTTTACCCTGGCTGGGCTTGAATGTGTGATCGTCCTGCCTCTGCTTCCCAGAGTGCTGGGAGTACAGGTGAGTGCCACCGTGCCTGCCTGGTCAGGAACTCAGAACTTCTGGTGCCCAAGTCAGAAAAGCTCTAGCTGAGCACATAGAGCATTACTGGAGCAGGAGAACCATTTTCCATTCCGAGGAAACACGGTGAGTAGTTCTGCCCTTCCTCCATCCTGTCCACACTGTCCTGGCGCCAGTCGTGCACCACTGCTGCTGACTGGCCTGAAGCTAGCAGGGGCTGCTGTGACTTGCGGGTGTTTGGGGCTCACCGATCCTTGAGTGACCTCAGGCTTCAGGATCCGTGGTGCACATGAAGGAGGGGCGTGGACCCTGAGTTGGAGTCCTGGCTGCCCCTGGAGCTCCCTGCCCTTGGGCGTGGCTCAGAGGACATAGAGGAGCCGAGCTCCAATAAGCATATCACCTGGCAAACGAGCCCACACAGAAGCTCTGAGGACCCCAGGCAGCAGCCTGCGTCTGCGGTTCAGGGGATGGGCAAGGCCAGCATGGTACCTTGCTTGGGTGGATCAAGGAAGCAGTTACAGCCTTCCAAGCCTGCTTATCCCCAAAATGGACAGGAAGGCCCTTTATCTCCTTGGGCCCCGAGCCAGGGGAAATTCCAAGCTGAAAAATTCCAAGCAAAGGCTGCATGTATTCAAAATTCTTACAAGTTGCACTGTATTGATCTCCCAAAAAGATACTCCAAATTATACTTCTGTTAATAAGTAATGAATGAGCGTACCTGTCTTTGACTCTAATACTCCTAAATTTACGATGATGCATCAAAGACAGCACTTCACTTAAACTTCGGGTATAGTCCTCTTTCAGGCTTCGTGGAGCAGAACGGCCCCCAGGAGCCCTGTGGTTGCCATGATCCGCTTATGCTTCAAGTCCCTGACATAAAATAGCATAGAGTTTGTGTGTAACTTGGACAATCACCCCAGGTCTTGTAAATCTTCTCTAGGTTACTTGTGATGCCTGATGTCACGTAGATACTGTGGTAAATGGATGTTACCCCGTGTTATTTAGGGAATAAGAGGAAAAAAAATCTGCTCCCATTCAGTAAGGCTGGTGCCTTTCCCGACCTTCTCTTCCAGTGTTGGCAAATGAAGAGCTTGATGTTTGGGGTTATGCGGCTCAACTGCATTCCCCTTTAAGTGAGGTTGAGCATCTTCTCAAGTACTTGGCCATGTTTGTTTCTGGTTCCACAAGAACTACCTGTTTGGCCTTTTGCACATATTTCAATGAGTTGGTCATCTTTTTTCTATTCAGTATTAGGGAAAAGCCAGATTTTCTGGAATTCTAGTTCCATTGTTTGGTTTTGGGGGAGATTCTTGACCTCCATGGGATTTGTTCTTTCTTTCCACCTGTGGAATGGGAATGGATTGTCCTGCTTTCTGAGGTGTAGAGGGGCCTCTGGATGTTATCAGTGCCTGGTGGGCACCAGGCTCCCTCTGCCTGCAGAGCAGCCATGGCTCCCAAGGTGTCTGGCACCCAAGGAGCTTGAGCAGAGGCATCTGAGAAGTGCAGCCTCTCCATGAGAGGAGGCTGGCAGTGGCGGAGAAGAAACACTTCTCTATGCTGCATCTGCTCAGAACTGCTGCCCAGGCCGTGGCTGCCAGGGCAGTGCCCTCAAGCTATTTTCATAACTTGTGATTCCCGGTAAGAAGCAGAGGTTTTAGTGTCATGACTGAGTCCACGCACACTGCAGGCCCCTGGAACAACACCAGCCCTCAAGTTTCAGGATGTGATGCTCACAGTGTGTAGGGTCCTCCAACACAGTGACTGAATTTGGGTTTTAAGAAGTTCTTCTCAATTTCACAGCCTTCCACTGAGCAGTTCAGAGAAAGAGGCTCTCCAGGGCCTGTGCAGATCTGGCCCTCAGGAGCAGCATACCAGCCGGGTTCTCTCTCTGGGTCTTCAGAATTCCTAGAGGCTCAGCCTGGGCTTTCTCCAGCTGTGCCTTGTGTCCTTGGTAGCCACTGGGAAGTGGCCTGTTGGGTCCATTGTGCTGCTTATTGGGGACCTAGCCAAGAACCCCAACTGCCTATATATGGGATACAGCAAAGACTAAAATAAGAAACACAAATTTAGTAATGCACGTTGGGGGGCTGGGAGGTCAATGCCTTAGGATGGGCAAAGACCCAGACACCCCAAACTAGCCACTATTCATTGGGTGTGTATGATTCAATGAGTATAGTCAGTGATAGGAGTTAGCAGAAGATTCTAGGTTGGCAAGGATTCAGAGGTGGATGACACTGCAGGCAACAGATAATCCTTGGAAGACTCAAGAGGGTGGAGATGATTTTATGCTAAGAGGAACCTCGTTCTAGGTGTCCTTTTTAATCTTAGTAGTTTTAGTTTAGTCTTAGTGGGAGACGTGGTTCCTCCCAAGAGTTAATGGGAAGACTCCAAAGGCTGACACCATAATCCTAAGCCTCCATTTATCCCTTAGGGAAGGATGCAAAATTTGCCATTGTGAATTTGTGGTCCCTAATACTGCTCATCTGCTAATCCTGCCTCCCACCAATTTAGATTGGTGGGTGCTTGGAAGGAGCGCATCAGGGTAGGTCTTGGGGAGGGAAGCGTGGCAGTGATTCTGCCTTCCCAGCTTTCCCTAGGCAGATGTGTGACCTCGCTTCACCTCCACCTGTCCTTTCAGAGAGGAAGAATGGCCAGAGGGTCCCCTGTGGGAAAGAGACTGAGTGTGCCTACCTCCATCACCCCTTCTGCTCATGCAGCCACAGGGTTCCTCTCTCTGCTCCTTAGGGTGGATCCTGACCCTGGGGTTCCCACAGGCCCATGTGTCTGTCCAGCCCAGCTTTGCCCCTGCTCATAGCATTTACCAGCATTGAAGTGGCCACTATCCTCCTACCCAACTTTTACACAGGTCCTGTACTCTGTTCTGGTGTGGATGAAGGAGCCCTGGTGGCTGGGTCATGAAGCAGAGGCCTCTCCTTCCCTTTGGCTCTAGTGCCAGTGCTCTGCCAGGCAGAGTTACCCAGGCAAGAGTGCCAGCACACCCCACTGGAAGGACAACAGGGCCACCTCCCTCCCACTGGCACCCCATGAGTGCTGCCTGGAGTGGGGTGGGAAGGGGAATCATCTTCCAGGCTTTAGTGGGGCAGGAAATCCTGGTCAGTTTCATGGTCACTTCCACGCAGTTTGCCGAAGACTTGTGCTCCCAAAGCCTCCAAATATGGAATTACAAGGCCACTGGGCTGGGGCTGAGCGCCCAAAACAGAAACATTTACCAAATATGCAAACACACTTGGTGTGAATGCTCAGGACAGGGCAGTTTATGTGTTGTCCCCTGTAGGGATTAAGGCAGTGGTCAGCGTCTGGACCACAGTGGTGGTGCACACATTCTGAGAGGGGTGACACTGGGTACTGAGAGGGAGGAGGCCGCTCCTATGGTGGCTGCAGGTGCAAGTCTGAGCTGCAGTCAGCTCTGGCTCACGCCTCTGGGCCGGTGTACTCTGGGATTTTGTGCAGCCAACCCAGCTTCTCTGGGCTCAGCCTCCTTTCTGGAAAAGAGAGACAGCTGTGTCCTGCGGCTGCCATGAATCTGAGGTGAGGTAGTGTGTCAGGTCCTCATTACATGTTAGTACTCCTGCCCCTTGAACGATGGTATTTTTGTTAAGCCTTAGGGTTCTCCCAGGTCTCACATCCTGCCCCAGGAAGTTTTCCCATGTCCTGGTGGTGCAGAGAAATTGGATCCGCACGCTCCCCTCTGTGTGCACCGAAAGCATGGAGACGTTGCTCCGAGGACCTGTTGGATGTTCACTTTCCTGCAGGCGGTAGTGCCACAGAGCATCTGCTGCTTGAGGCATCCCCTCTGCCAGGCCTTTGCTCATTCCTGCTGCCCAGGCCAGTCTTGGAGATGGTATTGATCCACTTGACAGCAGAGACCAGTGCATTGTAGTGGCTTTGCTATAAAATGTTTGCATAAATATTTTCTCATTTAGTTGTCAAACAACTCTGTGTGTATGAGTGTGTGATTATTACATCAACATCCTTCTTCAGCTTTACAGATGGGTAAACTGAGTCTCAGAGGAATCAAGCAAAGGTAAGGAACCAATGATGTAGTTCCCGGCCATATTTTGCAATTCTGAATCTACAATGTGCGGTGGTCACACTGGGTATAGAAGCAGGGGCTGTGACAGGGCTCCCATCTCATTCTTTACCTTCTTTGTGCTTAGTTTTCCATGGGGATCCCCACAGAAGTCTCAGGGTTTAGGTATCTATTGGACCCATTGCTCAGTGAGGAAAGTCACTGAGGACTCGAGTTGGTGATGGTTTTTCAGCTTGAGGTCAGACTCAAAAGCAACTTTAGGTGGTGCTGATTCCTGTAGGCACTGGGATTTCCTTTAGTGATTTGTGTGTGTGTGTGTGTGTGTGTGTGTGTGTGTGTGTGTGTGGCTCTTCCATAGGCTAGGCTCTGTGCAGGGTTGTGGAGACCCTTAGTCCTTCCTACAGGGGCTGAGGCAAACTTCTATTTAATCTTGCATTCACAGCAGAAGAAAGATATGGGCCTAAGGAAGGTACAGGGGACTTTGAATTGTTTACTTGACTTAATTAAGAGCTGGTGAACAAATTAGCAAAGCACACATTTGAGTGTGTCTGGGTGGTTTGTGGGGTATGACCGTGGGCACTGTCTGGTCCCTGTCCCTTCCTCTTTGGTGCTCTTTCTGCTCTGCTTCCTGGCCACCATGAACTAAGCAGCTTTGCTCCACCATCCCCATTTGCTGTGAAGTTCCTGCCTTGGAGCAGCCAACCATGGACTGAATCCGCAGGAACTGTGCGCCAGGTAAATGTCTCCTTCTTTAAACTATAGGCATTGGGGATCCTGTCCCAGCAATGGACACTGACAGCACCAGACATGGCTTTGAGTTAGGCCAAAGTGCTGGTCAGTTAGTATAGCTGAGCATCCCTTGTCTGAAATGCTTGGACCAGAAAGGTTTTGAGTTTCAGACTCTTTGGAACTTTAGAATATTTGCATATATGTTATGGGATTATCTTGGAAGATAGGACCCATGTCTAAACAAAAAATTCATTCACATTTTATACATTTTAGAAACATGCCTAAAGCTAACTTTATAGAGTATCTTAAATAATTTTATATGTGACAAAAAGTTGTGGCATTTTCTAACTATGACATCATGTCATAGAAGGATTTCAGATTTCAGATTTTGGACTAGGGATGCTTAATTTGTAGCAGGCTTACACTCTTCCCACCTGCACTTGGCCACGCTGTCTGGAAGAGAGGAGACACCCAACGTGGTGCTTCCCCTCTGCAGGAGGACAGATGCCTGTCTTCCCAGAGGGCTGTGCCAGAGTGCTGCCCTACCACCCTCTGTTGCTGTGACATGGTTTGTGCTGGCCACTGGGTCGACCTTCATGAGAGGAACACAGAGATGGGACCTGCAGTGCTCCCAGCAGGGCTCGGGTTGGGCCTCCCAGCTGCCTCGTTTAGGGAGATGCATCCCAGGACCTCTCCAGCCTCCCCTGCATCCTTAGAAAGCTTGGGTCTCTTGCTCCCACTGCTTTGTGGGGGATGAAGGAGGAGTTCAGACTCTTTTAAGTGGTGCCTCAGAAGCACAGGAAGCAGGCAAATATCAACCAAACCAAAGAAAACAAAAAGCTAAACACAAGCCCACAGATGGGGGCCTGTCCTAAAACACCAGGCGCGTTCTGCCTAAATCAAGACATCTGGTCACTTTGTTACAGCAGGACAAAGAGCCTTTTTTTCCCAAGCCAGGATTTTATGTCTTTAATCTTTTCCAGAAGAAAAAGAGTTCTCATTACGTCTGCATCTTATCGCGTGACTGCATGTCATAAAGACGCTGTTATCACCTCTTCCTTCTGATTCACAGGCGCTGTGCGATTCTCACTGATGTTATTAGCTGGGATCTGCAAATAGTAACTCTGGCATCGCCATCATCGTGGACAGCAGACGATAGACACTGCTGAGTAATCCTCAAGGTTTCTCTGCAAGTCCTTCAGAGTAAACAGTGAGAGAGCGTTCCCTGGCTGCGAGGGCTTTCAGTAAACTCTGCTTTGGCGCCCACACCGGAGCCTCCCACGAACTCCACTCCAGTGTTCAGTCTCATCTGCTGGCTTGGTTTTCTGAGCTGGAACAGCAAAAGGGACAGAGCTGCAGCGCCTGGCGCTGTGAGGCTGTCAAAAGCAAGCAGGCAGCACCCTTTGACGTCAGGCGCCATTTGGAAGGTGCTGCGCAGTGAAGACAGCATTGCCTTCAAAGTTTGAACACAGAAGTTGAAAGGGAAGTGTGGGAATTGGAGCAGCCACAGATTGTGATGTGGTGAGGAGGAAGAGATGGGGACAGGGTGAGCACAGGGGTGTCCCTGTCTCTTCCAGGGGAAGAGGGTGGGGATGGTGTGAGCATAGGACAATAGCTATCGCTTCCAAGCAAGAACCCCACAGTAGCAGGACAGACACTGGCAGCACCAGCTCCTTGTTAGATGCTCCTGGCCCTAACAGGCATCTCCTGCCCCCCTGGGAGTCTGATTTAACTGTGGTAGTGAGATGGGGCCTGGGCGTGGTATCTGAGTGTGGTGCCACCTGCAGCTGGCTGGCTGGTTCTCTCTTGACAGGCAGGACTGCACCTGAGGCTTCTCGAAGCAAAGCTTGAGTCATGGTCCTTCTGTTGCAGGGAGAGGAGTTGGGGAGGGGACAGGAGGATGGTCTATGACAAGGGAGAGAGCAGCTAGCAGGGGCTGGAGCTGAGACGCCAACACCTGGCTGGGCAGTGGGTGACACTGTCCTGGGCAGGAGCCCCGGTGCACCCCAGGGAGAAGGCAGCAAGGCAGAAGGGCAGCGAGGCAAGGGCTTACCGTGCAAGGTTGCAGGGTACGTGTCAGCCCGAGGGCAAAGGGAGACGCTGTGGTGGTTTTAGCAGGGTTGGTGGCATTTGGATATATCGCACATACCCACACACTCACATACAGATCTACATGGATGATCAGAATATGCAGTGAATGTTTAAAGCAAACAAAACTTATCACAACGGGAGACACATTGCCATAATCTCCCTTATGACACCCCACTCTCTGAGAACACTCTGGTCCCATTGTCCTTGCCACTTCTGGAGCAGTGCTAGAAGTCTCTTTGGTGAGTGTTTTTGTGAGGTATAATCGCACAACTACAGCCAATGCTGCTTCCGTGTGCCGCCCAGTGGAATGGCAGCTCCTAAAACATGCTGCCGTGTCCTCACCCACCTTATCACTGTGCTGGCATCATGGGACTTCTAGCTCGTCCCCAAAGTCAAAATGACCACAGGAGGGAAACATTTTGAATCAATTCAGGATGGTGAGGCAGCTGTAGACCTTCAGGAAAGAGGACTCCAGAACTGCTTCAGAAAGTGGTAAGGATGAGGGGATGAGTGCATTCAAAGCATGCATGCAGGAAGAAGGGCCCACGGTCCCAGGCCAGCTGAAAGCCTTGTTATACTCATTTTCCTCCAGAACCTCTGATCATGATGGTGTCGCTGTGGTCACAAGGTCCCCAGGCTGATCTGCTGGGTGTCCAACAGGTGGCTTCCTGCCCCTCTGCCTGCTCTGCTGCCCCTGAGCTTCTGTGCCACCGCCTGGTGTGTGTGTCCTGCTCCTCTTGCAAAGCCCTGTGGTTCAGGACGGACTGAGGGCACCCTGTCCCAGTGGTAGTGTGTCCAGGCACAGGGCAGCCATAGCGGGGAGAGGCAGCAGGCCAGGCAGTACGTGGCCCGCAGGTCTCACAACAGCACCCTGCGTTTGACACCTGTTCAAGTATCACAGGCATTTGCTGGCCCAGGTCTGGACTGTGAATCCCAGGGATGTCCAGAGCCTAGCCAGAAGTCTGTTCTTCTCCAAGGGGACTGCAGGGCAGCTCAGCCACCCAGTCCTCTCCACAGAGAAGAGCTAGCAAGCTGGCACCAGGCCCATTGGCCTCCACTTCACAGATGTGGCAGAAACCAGAGTTACTGACTCTGTGTTCCAGGATGTGCTCTACAGATTGGACTTCGGGGGGATCTTTTTGCTCTTTTTCTTCTTTAATGTAAGGTTTGGATGTGTGCAATCTCTTTGCAACAGAGTGAAAGCAAAGCTATATTTTGATGACAGATTTGGACGGCATCCTTCAAGGGGGTGTGTGGTGGTCATCACCTGAAACACATGTAGACGGTACACACAGCAAGACATGGCCATAACGTCTGGGAGAAGACTGTGTCCCTTGCTGGCAAGCTTAGGGAGTGGAATTGGCCCATGTTTCCTTGGAAAGCAAGAGCAGTGTAGGCAGAAGCAGGCTACAGAGCTATCCTGCAGCATCCCGGAGCAAACCCTGTGCTGGCCTCCCTGTGACCACATGCTCTTGGGGAACTGGGTGAGAATGAGTATGTGTGGGAAAAGCATCTGGGTAGCTGAAAGAGTTCCCCGGCCCAAACTTTGCTGGCCTCAGGTCTCCTCCTGCTCCATGTTCCTGGGCTGGTGTGGGTGTCAGACCAGAGTCCACACCACCAGTGCTTGTGGCCACCATTGGGAGGGCATGAGTGTGGCCCACAGGCTGAGCGCCTGGCCACGCCTGGCAGCACTGGGTTCTGTACCTCCTGCCTGAGCTCAGCACACTGCTCCTTCAGGGTGAATTTCTCCACGATGTCCTGAAGTCTCAGGCCCTGAAGGCTTGACCTGATGGCCTGCCCTTTCAAGATGTCCAAGCTCAGGACAACACAAGCCGGGTACCCAGCAGAGACTCACTGGCCCAGTGTGGGAAACAGTACCTTCCATGCAGAATTGGGGATGACGTGACAGATGGTGCCGTGAGGAGGAAGTAAAGGGCTGAAGGCCACACCTTGGGCAGTGTGTGGGCACCTGCCAAATACACAGCAGGTGCATAACCAGTGGGCTTCGGCATGGTTATGGCCTGGGAGGTGATGGGTGGAGGTTTGAGGTCTGGGTAGCAGCCATGACCACACCTCCTGTCACCTTCCAGGGCTCACTGTAATGGGCCACCACAGAGCCCTAGCAGCTTCCTGGGGAGTAGGGCTGGGTGTGGCTTTGGCCAGGTTGTGGGAACTTGGGGAGCTGCTGAGAGGTTGTGAGTGCCCCTGCCCATGCAATGCACTTGAAAGTCCTCTCCTGTGACCATGACAAGGTGAGTATCACATTCACCATGAGAAGTGGCACAGAACCACTCTCAGGGCAGATGCAAATTGAACAACACAGTCCAGAGGAAGAGGATTCACTTTCCACTCTTCCTCAGCCGTTGGCCTGATCGCTTCCTGCTCTTCCTCTTGGAAATCACAGCTCCCCTTCTAAGCGGAATTTAAAATCCCAGAGCCACAATTGGCAGGAAAATTGGCAGTAGGTGCAGAGAGACCTGACTCTGACCTTGGATGCACCCTGAAATCAGGTGCTCCCAGCCCATGGCCCCAGGATCATGCCAGCGTGGCCAGGGTGACAGGGCCACTGCACAGCGCAGTCCCCTCTCCTCTGCCTGCCACCTAGCCAGCGTGCGGCTGTCACAGTGATGATCATTAGGATGAGAAGGAGGCTCTGAGCCTGCCTGCTCTCCTTCCTGGAAAACCACCTTGAGCTGTGGTTTGAAATCCGAGATGCTATTTTGGGATTAGCTGTGTTGTTTCCAAAAACCATATCACATTGAAAAGCCAGCGCTACAGGAGCTGGGCAAGGCAGGCTGAGAGCGGGCAACATTGCAGTGACCAGTCCTGGATCAGGTGGCCCTGGGCAGGATTGAGTCTCACCTGAGCTCTTCCCTGGCTGGAAATGCAGGTTCCTGAGAGGGGGCTCAGCCTGGCCTTGTGTCCATGGACCCCCGGCTCTGCAGGACACCCCTTCCGCATTTGCCCACCACTGTTTCTGGGCCCCCACCCCCAGCCCAATCCTGGGAGCTGTGGTTCACCCGGGTCCCTGCTTCCTCAGGGGCCCTCAGATCCTCGGTGGTGGTAATAGGGATGCCTCCGGGTTCCTTGCCCAGCCCTTTCCCACCTTGGGTCACCAGGACCTGCTCTCTGCTGAACCTCAGCTCCAGCACACGCTGCACACAGAGGGCACCCACCGTGTGCAAATGCATGAAGGTAAAGTTGCATTTGCTGTGCTGTGCACAGAGACCCTTGGAGTTCGTGCTGTTGTTAGGTACTGGTTTACAAGCAGGTTCTAACCGATTCTGATTCTAGCTTTCTGGAGATTCTGCTGGGTTTCCTGGTATATAATTACATCGCCTACAAATAGTGATAATTTTGTTTTACCTCTCCCTGCGTTCTCCTCTTTTTATGTTTTCCAACATGATTTTCTGTGATGGCACCAGTGCTATCCTTACCTCATTCCTGGTCTTCTGGGGTGGTCCCGAGAATTCCGCCATCCGGGGAGAGCCAATGTTGCTTCTGCTCTGAGGGCAGCATGGTGACATCCAAGGACCCTCTGCTGCCGTTTTGCTGCAGCCTTTTCCATTCAAGTGGAGACGGAGGGCCACGCTCCTCAGGGCCTCTCGAGCAATCAGCTGGCTCAGTTCCTCTTAAATGCACAGTGAATTCTGCTAGTGGATCTCCTGAAACTGCATGGTCGTTGAATCTTTACGGAGATGCCCAGAAACTCCTGGGATGCAGGAGTGCTGCGGGGTGGGCTGGGCCACTTCCCATGGAGGACAGCTGGCTGGGGGCCAGCTGGGACTGCCTGCTTCCCAGGGTTAGGGCAGCTCGGGGTGCTCATTGCCTCTGAATTAAACAAACGAAGACTGTGACTCAGCTAGAGGGAGCATAATAAAAACTGAGATGGGTCTATATTTAGCAAGGCAGAGGCACGTGGGAAAGACAGAGACTTCCTTGTTCCCGAGCGAGCGGCAGTGCTGCCTTGAAGCTTGAAGATTGGGTGCTCTGTGCTGTCTCACTCCTCTGCTCTGGCCCCAGATGTTTCCCTGCAGATAGTTCAGTCTCCGAGGATGGCATCAGGGCTGGGTGGAAGCCAAGAGCCACCACGTACATCCCGGGCTACCTGCAAGGACAGCTGTGTTGTCCCTGCTGCCTCCTTCCCAGATAGAAAGTTGATGCCCTCTCCTGCAGCGTGTCACCTGGTATGACTTTCAGGAACACAGTAGTCCTCCCTTAGCAAGCCAGGTGTTTTCCAAGACCCTAAGACGTCACCTGCAACCAAGATGTGTCTCCCTACATACAAACTAACACTGTGGATTCTGTTTGGTGTCTTCATTGTACCCGAAGACTTACTTCTGGTGTTTTTGAGACAAGGCCTCTTTATGTAGTTTAGGCTGGCCTCAAATTTGCGGTGATCCTGCCTCAGCTTCCATGTGCTGGGATGACAGGCCTGCACCACCACACCTGAGTCGAAGACTTAGTTCAGAAAGGCTCCTGTCTCCTAAATCAGTGATTTCAACTCCACTGAGATCTAAGTGTGACTTCTTTGTCAGCAAACAACCTCTCCATGAATTTTGTGTTTTGCAACCCAAACCTGTTTCGGAAGAAGGTGGCAGATGCAGCACAGGTACTTGGGGCAGAGGGATGATTCGTGGACCGAGCTGGACCAGGCAAGACAGCCTGAGAGCTCACTGTTTTACTGAGAAGGGCACCATTTACAGCCCGGGGCTCTTTTGGACTGGGCACTGCTGGATGTGAGTGCCTGTCTAACATGCAGGAGGCACTGGGAACAAAAACAGACACAAAGAAAAACAGACTAGAATCCTCCCAAAGTCTGAATTACTGAATTGTTTTTGAATTTTTCCATTTTTATATTTTTCGGCTGCATTTGACCATGGGCAACTAAGGTATGAAATGTGAAGCCATTGAGGTGGCTGTGGGGTTTGAAATACGCTGGTGATGATGACACGTTGAGTTTCCACCTCCGAGCCAAGCCCGGTGAGCACGTCGAGAAGGAACAGGTCTGGGGTTTATTCTCCGTGGGCCCTAGGTTGGGGTAATTCAGATTTTCTTGGTGGAGAGTAGATGGTGAACATGGAAGACATGACCACGCAGCTCCCCTGCCTGCGGCAGGCACAGGGCCAAGCTTCCAGTGTTAGTACAAACCGTGTTGCCACCTCCTCCCAGCCAGGACCCCCACTCTGGCCTAGGCTGCACACTGTGATGGTGCCCATAGCCTGGCTGGGCAGCATGTATGGGTCTGTGTTCTGACAGGAAGAGGGAGACCAGAACCTGGCTTCTTTCCCTTGCAGACACAGTGAGGGTCCCCATCATCTCTGCGGTCCTGCTCTGTCTGTCTGTCAGGAGGCTGGTCTGTGCCTGGGCAGCTCCCAGCCCCTGGAAGGTTGGGGAGGCCTGGTGCTCACCATGGGGACAGGACACCCACCAGCTGGGTCCAGGGTCCATCTCTAGGACCACTTAGCTATGTTCTCCCCAGGATGGATCCACTAGAGTGGCTCTAATGTGACAAGTGCCGGCAGTCATTAGTTTTAGTTTTTGCAAAAACAGACCACTATTCGGCTGGCTGAGCTGACTTAGGTTGGATTGGGTGCTTTGGCTTCGTAAAGATAAAACCCAAAACCCGCAGTTTGCTGACTAGGGATGAGTTTAGAAAGTCCCTAGAATGCCTCCCTCGTCGCATCCTGCCTCTCTCCCTTGTTTACACGCTACCAGGTGACAGTCTGGATTAGTGTACCTGGCTGTCAACGGTGAGGACACAGGTGGAAAACAGGTCCTTGTGGGCAGCTGTGGGTATTGCTCAGAGCCCAGGTCAGCAATGAGGATACAGATTATGGCTGTCGACCCATCTCATTCAGGCTGGGCCAGTTCTCTTTGTCCTGGAGCAAGAGCCAGGCACAGATGGCACACACAATACATGCAATTTAATCTAACTACACTCGGAGATGGGCACCCAGCCTGTCATCCATGCCACCCAGGACTGGGCATATAAACTTTTCTTTGAGACGCAGTTTCTCTCATCTGTTGCTTAGGAAAGCGCTTCCCTCAGGATCTGGGATCTGTATTCTGTAAGCCATGGGGGAGAGACCAGAGCTGGGGCTGGGGCCAGGCTCACTTCTCCCTCACCAGGAGTGAGAGGGAAATCCCCAGGTCCCCAGGAGGGGGGCGGTGCAGAGGGAGACACAGCAAGGATTCTGGCGGCAGGGGAACCCCACACTAACCTTGCTCATCCAGGCTCCCTCCGTTTCCTTCTCTTGTTTCCTAGCATCTGTCTTGTCCTCTGCACCATCTCGTTCTGGCTCCTGCCTCCCTCGGTGCGATGACAACACTCAGATGCTGAACTGGATATTGACCTCTCCACCTGCAGGGGATGAACTTCTATTGGGTGTAAGTTGGCAGCCTCAGGTACCCTGTGACAGCACAGGAAGTTGAGGGAGACACCGTCAGACCCACGCGTGGAGACATGGATGCTGTGCTTTGAATGGCGTGGATGATTGTGCGCATGCTCCATGACAGGAAGTGGACACCGGGCCCTTTCGCTTTCTGCAGCAGCTCTAGCCCAGCTGTGTCCTCAGACAGTGCAGGGGCAGCTGGCAACACAGGCTCCCGTGGGAAGCTGCATTGGCCTCGGCAGGGCCAAGTCCCCTGTCAGCTGCCCTTTCTTAAATCCAATTTCATTTCAGCGCTCTGCTTCTCACGTTCTGGCACTGTCTCCAGAGGATGAGATGATTCTGCAGCCCAGCTCTCCATGCCCCAGGTGCCCTTTGCAGAGCACAGGGCATGGGTGGGGCTCGGCTGGGCCAGCTGTAGACAGGGTTAATGCACGGGGTACAAACCATCCAGCCAGTGCTGGCAGCTTTGCAAGCATAAAACAACAAAATCCAAGAGGCAAATGGAAAAATTGCACCCACTGTGCCCGGAGAAGCAGCCATGGCTTCAGACAGGTGGCCCAGCACAGGGTGCGGTCAGGCTCTGCTCCTACCCAGGTGCAGCTGGAGCTGTAGGGGGGTCCCCTTCACTGTAGGCTCTGCACAGGTGGTGCTATGAAGTCTACACAGGGGCTCAGGACAATTGTGCCTGACAGCTGGGGAGTTCAACCCCATGACTGGGACAATTGACTGAATGCCAGGGAGCTGGCTGATCGACCTCGTCCCTTGAAAGTGGGATACTTGGGTTGTCACACACACATGTGCACAATATAACAGGCCTTGCCTGCAAGTGGATGTGAACAAATGAGCCTTCTTTGAATTTCCTCACCTCTGCAGCCCAGGATAACCCTGAGCCCTGTGGTAGGAGCAAGGTGACTGCTGACTCTGGGGGGAGCTCGGGCCGCCTTCTGCAGTCACATTCCCCTGGATGCCAGGTTGTCCTCTGGAGGGCCAGGGCTGCAGGCTGTTGGCTGTAGCGATTGGGGGAAAAGGCAGAGGCACAAGGATGAGGGGAGAAAGAGACAGGGAGGGCTGAGGAGCTGAGCACAGGAGCAGCCAGTGGTGGAAACCGGAAGCCCTGCTCTTTGTGAACCTGCGGCACGGGGACCTCACCCAGGCTCCTGCCACTGATGCCCACAGTGACTGTGCTGTGGGGTGGGAGGCAGCCCGTTGCTCCTTACCTAACCAAGTGTCCTCCGAGCTTATTTAAGTAAAATAAATGAACATCCCTAGAACTCTATCTCTAGCACCTGGAGGCTGGAGAAAGGGTCCCAATGCCCAGAGGGCCTAGGTGACACCTCACAGGGCAGAAGCTTCCAAGTGCCCTTTGGTGAGCCCTATCATAGACTCTGGACACTTGGGAGAAGTCTGTCGTTAGGTAATGGCCCGTTGTTTTTTAGTTTGGTTTTGTTTTTTGAGGCAGGGTCCTGAGATATAATCCAGGCTGGACTTGAACTCACTATGCAGCCCAGGCTGGCCTGGAGCTCATGGTGAGCCTCCTGAGTGCTGGGATTATAGGCATGTACCACCAAGCCGGACTCCCCATTCTTTCGTTTCAATAGGTAATTGCAAAGATTACTTCATATTATAGGAAATAATATGAATAAAATCAATATGAAGATTACTTCATATTATATGAAAATGTTAGATTTTACTAGTTGCCAGCAATAAGAATGTCCATGACTGATATCTATTTTAAAAATGAGATTCAAAGTCAGTCTCAGTTTCAAACTCTTTGAGGGAGTGTTTTGTACACTGTTTTCTAAAAATCAGCATCAGCTGTATGAAGAAAAAGCAAACAGACTTGGAATGCCTTACTTGTGCCGTCACGACTCTGGACCTTCGAAGAGCAGTGACCGCCTACGTCTGTCCACATGACTAAAGTCACGTGAGAACCAAGATGTACAAATCCACAAGATGCACAACTCCCCTGGCACTGAGCCTCACTTCCTAAGGCTGCCGCTGATATGCAGTCTTCCCCTCCCTAGAGGATGGAATCCAGTGGGTGCTGTTCCCAGGGTCCTCACTTCCTGGGGAACTGAAAGCACAGTCTGTGGCCTTCTCCCCAATCAGACTGCTGCGCTCTGGGCCTCTACCCCACGCTGCAGGCCAGGCACCGCCTCGCCTGGGCCCCCAGGACAGGGAGCACATACACAGCACATTCCCAGCCTGGAGGGACAGGCGTAGGTGGGGCCTGGGAGCTGTGACCTTGAGGGATGGAGGCCCACTGTGGGCAGCATGGTGGAGGGGCTGAGGGTGCCAACTCCCATCTGTCACTGGTCCCAGCAGACTCCCAAGGGCCCCACCCCATCTTCTTCCTCAACACTTCCTACTTAAGGTGGTGATTGAGAACTACAGCATGTGCTTAAAGTTTATTACTGTAAGAGACACAGTGCCGTTGGTTCCCCTTGAAATCTCCCTCTTACCCACCCACATCTTTGCCACTTCCTAAAGGGCTCTGGACGTCCTCTTTCCTGACTGCCTTTAGCTGTCTGCACTGGCTGCTTTGATGTCCTGAGTCCATTGACAACATTTGATTCATGGTCATTTTGACTTTGGGAAGAGCTAGAGTCACACAGTGCCAGATCTGGGGAATGAGGAGGATGAGGACGCAGTGTCCCGCTGCACGATGCTGCCTTTCTGCTGGATGGCCCTCGA